ATACTTTTAGAGAATACATATGGACTATTTGTCAGAATCTTGCACCTTTTTCTTTAATTTGTTTCCCTTGAGCTAGTATGTAATTGGTTTCTGAGTAACCTCAACAACCTTGCCTGGAACACCTTTCCAGATAAATTCTTCCTTTGGGGGAAGGGGACAGGGACCAGACTAGTTTATATTAAATCTCAGCACAAAAAGTAGAAAGTAATTATGAGTCTCAAAAACTACAATAGCAGTCAGAAATCAAAACCTAACATTAAATGTATATAAGGAAAATAAAAGATACAATGTTGAGATCATTATAATTTTACACTATAAATGCAAGTGTACCAAACTTCAGCTCTTAGAAATAGCTTTTGGCAGCCTTTTATATCCCCAAATGGGGCATGCTGTCCTTGCTTAGAAAAATTAGCTCAAGGTTTGGGAAACTTTGAATTTCACACAGTCTGCACACCCCTCCGGAAAAATCTGAGCCTTGACTCTTGCTTCTCTCTCTGAGATCAGTGTCAATTTGTTGCTGGAACTTGTGGAAAGACATTGGATGTAGCTTAGAGGGAGAACTTGTTACCTCAGTTTTACTCTCAGTTTTCTCTATAAGCCACATACACATGTACCTGGACTGCCAAGGTTCACCTATGCTAACATCAAATTTAGAAATGTTTTCTTTTTTGCTGCTGCAGCTGCTGAAAACTTGAAATGAGAAAATTCATAAGAACTGTAAAAAACAATGTATTCACATGCAAGGGCTGTGTATGGGGAAAATATATGTAATTAAGAACTAAAACCAGATACCTAACAAATTGGGGAATTTCTGTGCAGAAGAAATTATCAAGGTGATAAATCAAATGTTAATTTGATTAATCAAATACTAGAAGAAATAACTCTGCTGAAAGGATTAGCAGTGACTGTGGACATTAATAAAAGGAAAGGATGAGACTTTTAAAGATACTTTTTATTCACTTCATCAATGTCATAGTGAAAGTCCCAATCTAATCACAATTAGAAAAACAGCTCTTCTGTACAGCTAAATCTAAACAAACATTTCAATCCAAAAGATTTTCCTTACAACTCTGTTGTAGTAAAGTAGCAAGGTGTTATTTAAAAGTTTTCTTCAAGCTTTTATTGCCATGATTTCTGAGAGATATAATCAGAAACAGAAAATCTGGATAATCGTTCACTGAGTCATTATAATAATTTCATATTTCATTAATTGAGGAAAACTTATTTTCAGTGTGTTCATCTCATTTCATAAAGGTCTTCAGCACAGCGGAAGTGCAAACTGCTGAAGTGCAGCTGGCTGTGTTTAATCTGTTTTATCTCTCTCTTCAACAAAAAATGGAAGACATGGTGACAATTAATGAGAGTAACCATTGTGTGCCTCTATGTGAGATATTTTTGTATTTATTACATCAATCATTTTATGAATTTACATTGCCAAATGATACACTGTGAACTGGAAGTCAGTTCAAAGTTACCTTGCTTTCCTACAACATGAGAAAATAATGGATTTTCAGATCGAGAATTGGCAGAGGCAACTGAAACCATGAACATGTGAAATCATTCCAAAAGAAAGGATATTGAACTGAAATTCTGAAGTTTCTCTTCTTGAAGCAAGCTACAGGATGATTAAAATAAGCTTTCAGAATGGTGTGTTTATACTAAAATGGAAGACACTACAGGAATATTCAAAAAAGCAAGAGTATTGAAGCTTTCATACATAGGACATCCATTCAATCTCAATTCAATGTTCTGGTCAGACATTCCTCGAGGGTGTCCACCTCCCTGTCTTGAATCCTCTTCCCTTTTTGCCATTTAGTGCTTGGGATTGAGTCGTATCATTTTGTCACTCTGGAACTAGGACTACCATAGACATTGCAGATGTAGCATTCTACTGGTCCCATCAAGAGCTGAGCATTTGTATTTTTTTCTTTTTTAAAAACCTGATGATGAAGTAGGCAACATCTTTTTTAAAGCAAAACTATTTAACTCAGCAGATAAAACAAAGGCATCAAAGAAAAATATTTTTAAAGCAGTTTAGAAAAATGTAAGTGCCTGTTTAGCTTAATCTAATCAACTAACTTTAACATACACTATCAAAATTAGAGTTCTCAAATTACACAAACACATAGAAAACAACAATTTATTCTGGTCTCACTTCACTTATTAGAACATCATTTTTAGTCAATTCAAGGAAGGGGGATTCTCAAACAAATGAAAACTTAGTATATTCTGTCTTCGCATTGTAACTGTCAAATTATCCCATGGTGTCTTAAACAGTAATTTGTTTTATTTACAATATTTTTCTCCACCATTAATTTCTCCAGAAAGCTGGCCTGGATGTGTAGGATAATCTGGTAGGAGATCTCTAAAGTACTTTCTTCATTGTTTTAGAGCTAGGACTCTTCAGGTAAACAACCTGTACTCACTAGCCTTGAAACCACCTCCTTTGTATGTTTTATGTTCCCTTCTGGAAGCTTACATTGTGTTCAATAAACTACCTATAAGGTACAGATGAATGTGACTGCCACTGTCAATCCCTGTAGCATTTGTCACAGTAGTGACCAAGATAAAATAATCAGTTGTGAAGAGAGCACTTCGGCTCATTTCTCTGGGTTTCAGAGAACCCCGTTAAAGTTCTGTACTGCAAACTGCCCTGATATTACAAAAGATGTATATAAATCCTGAAGATGGTATCACATCACACACAGCAGATGCTTCACAGCAGAGGTGACAGAGACAGGTCCAACAGAGGCAGGAGAGCACCAGAACAGAAAATGGTACAATCCTATTAGGCAGAAAGACCTTGCTGCTAAGATGGCTAAACTACCGCCCCTATGCTACAAGCCGTCAAAAATGACAGCTTGGTAAACCTGGAGTAACAGTAATTCTGTAGCTCTCCTTCCTGTCCTTTCCTTTACATGGTGTGCTTTTTGGAGTAGAACTTCCACCTATAAATATAGGTGCATTGTCTATTATGGCATGGATCTGAGTGTGGTTAGGAAGGTACATAAAACTGCAACGCAAACTTGCAAGATGTAGTGTTCAAAGTGAGTCAGATCTCCCCTACCAGGGTGATGTAAAAACAGGATTAAATATCATTAGTCTTATTGGGCAATAGCACTACAGGAAATGTCAGTTCTGCTTTTACTTTACCATAAACCTGAAAATATTTAATTGAATAAAATAGAAGTGTTCACTAGATGGTAGTTGAAACACATTCATAACCACTTTTCAAGATAAGATCACAGCTCAGTTACACTCACAGCTTGAGAAAAGTTTAACCATACAATGCATCATCTCAAAATCCAGTCATTCCTGCTCAAAATATGTAGGGCCTTGCTTTTGAGTTTCACAATAAGATTCTAGCAAGTTTTCATTTTGTTTTCTGTGAAGGGAGATCATGACTTTTACAATCTATGATGTAGATTGTCCTGTTTATTCCACTTCTAGGTCATAGTGTCTATTTTATACATAGCTCTTCACATGAGTTTATGTCAGGCTTCAGAAAAATTAAGTGCTGTATAAAATCAACCCAGTACCTTGCTATTACACCTTTTTTAATTTTTGTTTTTCTGCTTATATTTCAAGCCTATACCCAGTCTTTTGAGTACTATCTTGTGTGCTAACTCTAAATTACTCTGTTTCAAGTCTACAAAACTCCAGCCACTTATTTATATTTTTATAGTATGAGAAGTTAAAAGTGTGCAGTTCCCACAGCAGTCATAATGATTGTTAAAAATGATCACAACACACTCATTCTAGCATTTAGTAGGCACTAATTTACTAAAATGTGATAATGCAATCCCTACCACAGCCCTTTTCTTATCATGTAAGCTCTTTGCAGAAAGGACTTTTTTTGCCTGCAGAGAACCTGGTGGACAGGCAGAGCAGCATGCTGGATGCTGAGGTTTGGATTCTTTAGTAAGACAACAGTACAAGGCAGTCCAAATTAACAGTCATCTGGATAACTGCAAACAAATAAACATGAAACCTTTTGTATCTATGACCATTTTGGTCACCAAACACTGAGGTACAGGTATCAGCATATTTTTATTTATTCATTTATTGTACATTATGCCTTTATACTATCATACATGCATATATGTATTTTTAGCAGATGAAAACAAGCTTTAAGGAGTAGTATTGAGAGACAGTGGTTGAAGAAGTGCAAAGCTTGAGAGAAGTACAGTAAGCATCAGACAATTTTATTACTGTCTGAGAAGAAAAGGGAAAACAGAGGAGAAGCTTCTGTCCATTCAGTGTGTCTTCTTTCTCTATAATTTAATATCCAACTGAAAGACTAGAGCTGAGATTTGTTAGGTGTCAAACAGGTTTTGAGCATGAAGGTCCATGTCCTTGTACAGCTAGTATTTACATCTTCAATCTTCATTACTGAAAGGACAGCACTCTTGCTTACTAAGACACCCTATGTTCTTTGGTGACTACCACTTTTCCTGGAGAAAAAGTTTTTTTTTTTCTTTCCCCACAGTGCTGCAATTAATTTAATCACAGTTGTTCACTGCAGAAAGAAGAACTGAATATCCTCTGGGTAAAAGAAACATTTTTTTCCTCTTTTATTTCTTTCTCTTTCTCTCCCCATCTTTCCTATTAAAAAAGTTTTCTTCAAGAATTCAACTTTACATTATTTTCTTAATTTCACCTGCATTTCAGCATCTCCAGCTGGATTAAATTAAACAGTAAAATGTAATAAAGTATAACAAAAGTTCACATGAATTCATGTCTAAATAATGATTACATCTGACTGTGTTCACTCTTCCAAATGTCTCAACTGTCCCAGAGTAAAAACCTAGCAGTTCATGGCTGTGTGTTGTGGACTTTGTAAGTACAGAATTTTACAGTATAAGCACTTAAAAATCAATCAAAGCAAACAACAAAAAGAACAAAGCTAAGTTAGTCTTACTGTAGCATTTTGAAGCTCAAAATGAGAAAAGAACTTATAAAGTTCACACCCACCCTGCTTTTATTATTCATTTGCATACCGTGTTAGTTGAGTTTCCATTTAAATGTAAGCCACTGTCAAAGAGAGGTGATGAAGTTCCACTGCTGTGATCACTTGATGGTCCAGGGGAACCTGGAAATCAGTTAAAAAAAAGCCTGCCGATGTTAAAAATATATGTATATATCAGACAACATCTATTCCAGCTGTAAAACACAGGAAGAATTTTTAATATAATTCCCCCAACCAAGACAGAAATACTACTTGTACTTCAGAAAGGCAGACAATTAAATATCCATACGCTTTATTTAATGTCTAGAAATAAAAAAGGTTTCTAGATGTCATCTGAGAAGGACTGTGCTCATGGGGTCTTTTTGTGTGCTTAACTGTCTTCAGGATTAAGCCTTTTTTCACTGAGAATGAGATATTCAAAACAAGCAGTCCTTGTCTCATCCTTATATTTCCATGTTATGACATTTTGCCATGACATGAGATGGTGTAGGGAAGGGAGATGTATAAGAAGGGAGCAGGGGAGGCAGATGCTACTCCTGATGATGTGCTCATGGTGATGATATGGGTTGCTGGGAAGAGACAGTATGATTGCAGTTACAGAGAGCACAGCACAGCACTAAAACTGCCAGCACAGCAGCTGGTCTGACTGAATGCTGGAACAAGTGCCTGAGCCTTCTGGGATGGCTGGAGTAGCCAAAATACTTCAGAATATGCATGCACGCACTTAAATCCTGCCTGCAGTGTGATTTGGGAATTTCTTTATTGCATAATGCAATTGCTACTTAGCTTTCTAAATGTGTCATAATGCTTCATGACTGGAATTCCCTTTTGTGCATGGACTTGTGAAAAGCTCTTCTTGAAATGGGGTGCTATTCTCTGTAACTCCAGTTTATATATTGCATTAAGTCATAACTATTTTCCATACTTTTATCCACCTTATTTGCTTCTTTTCTCATTACAAGAATGAATATTTATAGCAAGGCATTTACCAAAGATCACTTGACTCACAAACCTTGGTTTCAGCCTCTACTGAATGGCTACACCGAACATTCTAGAGGGGTGCATGTAAGCTCTTGTGGAGGTCCAGGTTCAGTTCAGGAGAAGGGTCATTTCCTAAGTTCCTTACATATCTGATCATACCTAGCAAGTTCTTTTTTTTTGAGTATGCTTCTATTGAGCTGCTTTCTATTTCCAGAATTGGCACTTTATGGAAGCAGTGCCATGATCTCAGGCTCCCAGACAAAGATGCTGCAGTATCTCCTGGTGAGAAAGCCAATCTCCCCATGATGCACAAAGAGGGCACCAATATTGCTGGACCTATGTGAACCACTTGAGAAGGTGGCAGCCAGCTTGTGTAGTGTGTACTAGGTCTTAGTGGCAAGGGTTTATGGGCTGGGATGTCTCCAGAAGTGGGGAATGGTTGAGGCTGCCCTGGGCCAGGCACAGACAGATCCAGCCAGATCCCACATTACCACTGGGCCCTGGAGCTGAGCTGGTAGCACCTCTGGGGAGCTATTTAACAAAGGATAAAATGCAGAAGGGTGGAGACAATAGTAAGGGAAAGAGTGACACAAAAATCAAATGAACCTCAAGGTCAGTGAAGAAGGTGATGGACAATTTATTTGTCTTTGTTTCTCATTGCCTGAATCTATTTTAATAGACAATACATTTGTCTAAGTTTTCCCACATTGCCTCTGCTTTGGCCATGATGGTAATTAATAGCTAATCCCCTTTTTGTTCTATTTGTACACCACATTCTGTTTGAGAACAGGGAGTGAGAGAGTGTCTGAATGAGAGTTTGGCTCTTAGCTAAGGTTAACCAATGACAGGCAATACAGTTCAAGTATGTGATGTCAGTCTACAAGATGAGATACAAGTTCTAGTAGCACTGTCGTAGTCACAAATAAATATGCCCAATGACACAGACACTACTGGTAAGATGCTGCTAATTTGCCAAATTCATGTTTAAGCTTGGACATAGTTATCCAAGGAGCAGTCAACATAATTTTAGAGTTGTCTGATGATCTAGTAGGAAAAGTAGGAAGAAACATGAAGACTCATTATAAGAAAAACGATATATTTTCAAATGAAAATGATAAGCAGTAAGCACTGAAAGAAAGGTTCTAACATGAAATGTATAGTTCAGCTTAGTAGAGGCCTGTCAAGTTGGCTTTTGACAGGTATAAAAATCTAGATTAAATGACTGACATTCTTCTAATGGCAAGGTCTAAACTATGACATCTATGAGTCTGCTAAAAATAGGAAAACACAAGTACGTAGCTGAATGCAATTTAAAGAAATAAATCTAAATCAATCCAAAGAACAAGACACATTTCAAAACTTTTTGCTTATTTTGGAGAGAAAATAATCTGCTAAAATAAACTGGTGCAAAATTATTAATTTGATCAAATAAAGTGATTTATTATGAACACTTTTCTACTTTCAACACTGATCACAACTGTGCAATTTGAATATTTTATCTGATAACCAAAAGAGCCCCAAACTTCCATGATCTGTATTGTTCATACACTTTTTAGTATTGCTACTGTTAAACTACTCAGCTGTCTCAACATAATTCTGCTGACAAAACCAATCAAAATAGTAAAGTAATTTATGAAATATACATAGTTAATGTTATCCATTTGTTTGGTAAATGTCATCAAAGTAACTTTCAGTGTAAATGTATGGTTCAAATATTTGCAAACACTATTTATTGTATTCAGGCAAAGCTTCTATTGAAAAACTTTCAGCTATCACCCATGACTGTACTGCATCTTAATGTTTTTTTTCAGTTTTATTTTGAATAAATTATACATAAGAAGCAAGGCAGTATGCATTTGATTCTTATATGTTAAACAGTAAAGATTTTCTATTTCTTCCTGTGAAGCACTCAAGGATTGAATTTCTATTTCTGTCACTGTCAGCTTATTACAAGAATCCTGCAAAGAGGAAAACAAATTACTCCCATTCACTAATTTCCTCTTACCTAATGGGAGCTTTAAAAATGATGGAGCTTCCCTGAGGTATTGAACTGTGATGGTAACTTCATCGCCAGCATTTCGCAGTAGGTGTACCTGTCAAGTGTGACAAATAACAACTACTTTAAACCAAAGAACAATCAGTCATAGAAAGCACATTACTTACAATGAAATCAACATTTCTGTTGATCTATAATAAATTCGGTGTAAGCACTTCTGGCTTAGAATGTAGAATAGTGGAGGATCAAGCCAAGCAACAATGGAAAAGAGTAGGCAAGACCAGTAGAACAACCTGAATAAATAATGTGTTGGGCAACCTGATATTACATACCAGCTGAACACAACTTCCACTAACTGATTTTATAAAACTGACATAGGATAGTAGGGAAATATGTGTCTATGTAGATTAATGTAGACATTAATTTTGTCTGTATACAAACAGAAAGATATATGGAAATGTATTAATACATCATACACATCTTGATCTTAAGTATTTGGTTTGATTGATTTGGGTACCAAGTTAAGCACACTTGTGTGATTCAAAATTGAATTTGTGATTCAAATACAGTCTTAAGTTTTGTGTCTTTATTGTCTGTAAGCATTTGTTAACCAAAAGGGAACACACACACATGTCTAGACATGTTTTAAACCATCAGAATTCACTTTGGGGAATAGCACGCCATCACATAAAGTTTTTTTTTAAATGCAGAACTACACATATTATCTCTGAAGGAACTCAGCTCCTACTTCAGGGCAGAGGTGTTCCCCAGTTTCATATCCATGACTCTCAGGAAACAGGTATTGTGTTTGGTTTGCATGTGGCCTGTACACAGGGCCTGCATATCCCTGACCCAGTTTGTCAGAAATGGATGCTACAGCTTGTGGCCTCTAATCTGAGCACAACCAGAGCATTCATCCTCCAAGCAGAAAAGGAACTAACTGTAGCAAACTGACTTATATAGATGCATTTAATGGTTTAATGTGCTGGGAGGAAGCTGGTGGTAGTGTTGTTCCAGACCACTGCGTTAGCACAATGCCACGTTGGCCAACATCATGAGACGCAGGATTACCTCAAACATCTTAAGTTTTCCACTTGTGTACATAAAATAATGCTTACACCAGAGACTGATGTATTTGCTTACATGAAAATTTCAAGCTCATGTCTGATGGAAACCAAGAACCCTTTTTCTTTTTTTTCTTCCACCCCCATCTCCCCCCTCACTCAATCTGCTTTTAAATGATTTACTATGAAAAATACAACAGCCAGTGCTGCCTACTCAACCCCAGAAATCTCAGTGTTGTGCTTTTGGGGACAAATGACTATAAGAGAACCTGAGGTCTCATTGTGGGAAAAAACACTGTGGAGAAAAATAATAAGATCACTGATTTCTGACTAAACCATTTGAAGATGTTCACAACAGGAGTAAACAAGAATGACAGAGTAGCAAACTTTGCACGCATTTTTAAGATCATACAAAAGTATGTTAGGGCTGCAAAGTGTTATGAACAAAATTCGGGTAATATTTTTTTTGTGAGAAAAAGTTACAAAAAGCAGCCAGACCACGGGTAGCTGCTGAAGTTCTTCGTGTTTTGTTATTGTAATCACGAGTCGTTGTGGCTAATCGCTCCTTTTGTATCAGCAGAGCCTCGCCCGAGGCTAAGTTGTACCTTTCCCAGAAGGGTGGGAACCTTCCCGAACAGTAGAAGAGACCTGAGAAGGTGGGGGGGGCTATGCAAAGTGACTCCAAGACCACAATGCAGCATGGGTCCCCCGGTGTACGGAGAAAACCCCAAAACAACGAGCCACCTAAGAGTTGAGAGACTGGAGTGATGTCTAGACGTGAAGAGCTGAATGCTGAACCTGCAGAGATGCAAAACACCTTCAGAGCCTCGCCCTGACCAAGAGAGACGACCCCGGCGGTGAGACGAGGTTGACTGAGCCGGCAAAGGTACCATCTGACGGGATCAGCAGGCCCTAAAGGCTCCCACGAGGACTTGATCCCCAGCTCTGCCCCTTGCGGACAGAGCTGCGCATATCCTCCTTCTCTGAGTCGCTTTGGGAGAGACGACGGAGACTGCAGACCCGTTGAGCCACCCAATCCTGAGTTGATCACTTTTAATAAAGGCATTGAAAAAGGAGAAGAAGTCTCCTGGCCCTGTTTATTTCAGCTGGGGGCTCGTCCGGGATAGCCACGCCGCAAGAGGACTCAGGACTGGCCATCTTGGATCTTCAGAGGACAGCTGGCTACTAGGACCAGGGAGATCGGCTCAGGACAGCGACGCAGAGGAGCACCGGAGCACCGGACTGGTGAGAATCCCGGTGGCGGGAGTGGGAGACGTGCGCATGTGTGTGTGAGTGAGACGAGGGCCGGCAGCCGGACCTTCGAAGCGAGAGGGACCCCTCAGTACCGCGTTTCCTGACTCCTGCGAAGGTGCAGGCCGGAAACAGGGGAAAGCGAGTGGAATTAGCGTGAGTGAAGTCGTCTCCCAAGGGGGAATAAAGGGCCCCCCCACTCCGGGCGTGCGGAGTGAATTACTGTGTATGAGTGGCACGCACCCCAAAGTCCTGACAAAGGGAGGTCAGGCACTTTTGTAAGTCTCGAGAAGGATTCGCGTAAGATTTGTCAGTCCCGAGAAGGATTCGGGTGTTTTCACAAGCCCTGCAGGCAAAGTACGTCCTGACAAAGGGAGTCAGGCACAAACCCCAGCGAAGGAGGCTGTGGTTTGCTTTTAAGTCCTGATACGGTGAAGCCTAAAAATTGGCGAGTTAGGCAAACTAAAAAATCAGGCAGTTGTTTTTCCTGACTGAGGGAGTCAGGCACGACCCGGATTCTTGGCCGAGGCATCGTGTGTTCAAGTCCCGATAGATATAAGACCTGACGAAAGTTGGGCAATCAAGAGATTGGGCAGTTGTTTCAGTATAAAGTCCTGAGCATCAGGCAGAAATTTGAAGTTCAGTGGAGGAGGCTGAAGCTCCTCAAACAAGGTTTTTTGAAACTACCGGTCAGTTGAGGCACCTTTGAGACTTTTTTATTGAGACCTGGAAAATGGGATGTTGTAGTAGTAAAAAGACCGGCAAGAAACTGAGGTATATACATCCCAATAGTCCCTTAGGAGAACTGTTAGTAAAATGGGATTCTATAGAGGCCATGGAGGGATTAGATAAAGTGAAAATGATCCATTATTGTATGGAAGTCTGGCCAGAATTAGAGGTGCAAGGAGGATGGCCTTGGTGTGGGACAAAGGATAAGTGGATGTGCCAACAATTAAATAATTATCTGACAGCTCAAGGAGATACTGATCCTGAGCAATTACTGTATATATCTTGCTGGGTAAAGAGCGCTATTGGGGATGAAGGGGTGCGAATTTGTAAGGTACAGAGGAAGAAAGAAGGGAATGAAGGAGGGGATGATAGAACTAGTAAAAGATGGGACCCCCTGGATTATTTGCCTCCTTCTGCCCCTCCACTTTATAATCCTCTCCTTCAGGCACCTCAAATGGCAGGTCCGGTTCTTCCCCCGGCTGCCATCTCATTACCACCTGCTCAAACTCCTCCTTCTACCTCTTCAGCTTCCGCTATGATAAACCCAGTATATCCTCCAGTTCCTTCTGCATCACCACAAGCGCCTACTCCACCTGCTGCATTCTCCACCCCTTCTTCAGCTCCACTTAATATACACTCAGGCTCTTCTCCCCCTCCTATTGCTGTCCCTTTACCTCCTCCTAGTTGGGGCACAAATGCCTCCTCGCCTGATAAACAGCTATCAGCAAATACACCTGCTGATGGGCAGGAAGTTCACGGTAACCCAGAAATCCCTCGAAGTAGTTTGGCATCTGAAGATGGGCCGTACTGTAGCACCAGATCCAAGACCTCCAAGGCAGAGAGACTCTTTCCCCTCAGAGAGGTTCCTATGGGAGGAATAGCGGGAGGTGTTGGCTTTGTGAATGCTCCCCTAACTGCTTCTGAGGTGAGAGGATTCAAGAAAGAGTTGGGGCATTTAGTTGAGGACCCAGTGGGCATAGCCAACCAAGTGGATCAATTTCTAGGTCCAAATATCTACACTTGGGGGGAGATGAATTCCATCCTGAGTATATTATTTTCCCCAGAAGAGGTCCAGATGATTAGGGCAGCTGGCATAAGAATATGGGAGAAAGATAACAGTCCAGGACCCCAGGTGCCAACAGGTGAACAGAAATTGCCACTAACGGAGCCCAGCTGGAACCCTAACCAGGAGGAGCGGAGGAAGGCCATGAGGGAATATAGGTCTTTGATGATACGGGGGATCAAAGAGTCAGTTCCCAAAGGAACTAACACCCAATTGGCATTTGAGGGTGCACAAGAAAAGGAGGAAGCTCCTGCTGCCTGGCTTAATCGCCTAAGGCGGAACTTCCAGTTGTACTCTAAAATAGACACAGACACCCCAGAAGGTCAAATGCTGCTTAAAGTCCAGTTTGTTACCAAATCTTGGCCTGATATAAGGAGAAAGCTGGAAAAGATGGAAGAGTGGCAAGAGAAGGACATAAATGAGTTATTAAGAGAGGCATTGAAGGTGTATTTAAGGAGGGAGGAAGAAAAAGCAAAGGCCAAGGCTAAGGTCATGGTTGCTGTAGCTAGAGAAAGTGCAGGGTGGGCGGGTCCACCACCAGGAGGAGGCAAGGATAGGCCAGTACTGACAGGTGCACAAAGGATGGAGACACCTCAAGGCCCTTTGAGAGAGCGACATTGCTATTACTGTGGAGAGCCAGGACACGTCAGGAGGTTTTGTAGAAAGCTCAGTCTTGATGCTGCAATAGCCAGGGAACAAGAGAATTTAGGGAAGATCCTTAGAGGTGACGATTAGAGGGTCAGGGGCTTTACACTTTAGGGGACCCAATGCAACATCTAGAAGAGCCCCTTGGTAAACTTTGAGGTGGGCTCCCTAAATGAAGAATTTGAATTTTTGAGTAGATACAGGAGCAGGTAAGTCCTGTCTCAACAAAGAAACATCTGAAGTTAGACAAAAAACAGCTAGGTAGAAAGGATATCCAATAGCACCATAACTGGCCAGTAATACTTAATGTGTAATTATGTGAAAGTAAAAGGTACCTTATTGTTG